AATCCGTCAGTAAACCACGAGACGAATTTATTGGCCCCGTTCGCTTCGTTGAGAAAACAAGCTGAAACACTGTTTCGGTTGATTTGTTGTGAGAGAAAAATACTATTCCGGTTGAAAAAACAAGCTAAAAAGTACGGATTATAAGACAAACGAACAAGACCATTAAGCCAAACTAATCCGTCATTAGCACATGTGTGTACTGTAGCACTTTATTGTCAAATCATGGACTAATTAGTCTTAAAAGATTCGTCTCGTAAATTAGTCATAATATGTGCAATTAGTTATTTTTTAATCTATATTTAATACTCTATACATGCGTCCAAACATTCGATGTGACAGGTGTAAATTTTTAGGGTGAAAACTAAACAAGGGCTTAGAGTACACACATACCTCAAAAAGCATATCATCGGAAGTTATGTCGGAGAAGACTCAGGGTCCTTTTCGTTTTTCTTATAACCCGTCTTTTTCAGCTTGTTTTTTTAGCTAAAACAATATTTGTCTCTCGTAACAAATCAGCCGAAACATTATTTCGATTTATTTTTTCAGCGAAGCGAACGGAGCCTCAGGGACACAAACACCGGTGAAGGCTCACCACCACACTGGAGCCTTATTTATTAAAACTAACTAAGCTATTTAGTACATCTACAAACCAAAACACTGATAGCCAAAGCCAAGCCACCCTCCCACTCCGACGCCGGTGAGGAGCATCAGAGGGGAGGAGCCGGCCAACTCGACGGTGGGAAGTTCTTCCGCCTAGAGTCGCTGCTCTCTCCTGTAGCTGGGGCAAGACTCTGGAGCTCTCTCTCTGTGACAAAGTTTCCGCCGGTCCGATCCCCAACTAGGCGTTGCGAGGGGCGCAAGTTGGGCCTAGACTACAACGGAATCAATGTGGGGTGTAAGAGAGAATTGTCGAAGTAGACCACGAACGGTCTGCTGCTTACGGTATTTGGAGCAATGTCAGATCGGCCCATTTCATCGGTGACCCACACATATCCACTAGTTTTTTTTATCCTGTTTTGATCTATTAGCACTAAAAATTAGAATATAAAATTAGTAATTATGGATCAAACAGACCTGCTAATAAATCTGCTAATTATTAACTGGATGACGATTAACTATTAGTTCCATTAACAGATTTAGAGTTGCTAATATATGCTAATAATTCATATAAACCTTCAACGAAATCCAATCACCTATTAGCAGGTGAATCCAAACAGAGCTTGCCTAAAAATTAGCTAGCAAAAAATTAGCAAATATTAGCTAGCTAATTTTTAATGCTAATGGATGCAAACATGCCCTTATTCCAGCCTCTCTATGAGTTATTCACTCAACCAAACGTCAAACTGTTCAGTCGCTACAGCTACAAAGGCACTGTAGCAGCAACGACTATTGCTGCGACCGTAACCGAACACCCCATAATTACAAGTTTCAGGCTCCGACTATAAAGCAAAGACTAACAAATAGCCAACAAGTTTATGAGCGTAAAGTAATAATTCATATAGAAAAAACCTAACCATTAATCCTTTTATCCACCCATGATTGGTGAAAAATTCTAGTGTCCACATTGGAATTCAATCAATCAATTACGAAACAAGAGAGCTCTTTTATTTTAACAGAAATAAATACAAAAATTACTACAAAGTAAAATTATTCAATCTTTTTTATTTTTATAAATATTTTTTAACTAATAACTAGATACCGAAATTCTTTGATTCACTTTTTGAATTTAAGTAACTAAACCTATTTTTAATATTAGAATATTTTAGTGAGAGAAATTGGAAAAATCCAGAATTCTAGTATTTTTTCTTTTTCTTATTTTGTTTTTAATTCCTATAGAAAGAGATAAGAATAGGTTTGGTGAATCGAAAACAATTTTATGATCATTTGGGACTTTCAAATTATAAGGAATTATGACCCCAGATTTCTCATAAATAAATAAATGTATGACATAAATCCAATTTAAATTTATAACAAAAAAATCCATTTTTTGGACTTTTACTCCTCGCGGCTAGGATTACGTCCTGGTCATTAGATGAATCCAAAGAAAAAGATGGAAACAAAGAATATCACTAGCTAGCTGTTGAGATGATTATTGGAAGTCTTTTCTCCAATTGTTTGTCTGGTGCTAAACTGGAGAGCTAATATGGTGCTACCGGAAAACTCTGGTGCTCTCTGAGTGCCGTTTCTTCGCGTCTGTTTGTCTAGGGGCTTTATTTTCTTGAGGTCTTGAACTTCTTGCTTGTCTTCTAGGACTTCATTGCTCTTCTTTGACTTTCATTTGTGGTGTTGATTCTTTGATTTTCACCTTAGCTAAGCTCAAGTCCATCTTTGCATCCTATGGACCAATGTACCTTATATACTAGCTATGTTTGTTAGTATAAATGGTTATATTGTCAGTCAACTACCAAAATCACTAAATCCTTGCTAGGGGTCCATGTGTTTTTAGCCTATCAAAGATCATCCTCCACAAACAAGATTGTATCATCAGCATACTGCAAAATGAAAGATTAGCCTATCAAAGATCATCCTCCACAAACAAGATTGTATCATCAGCATACTGCAAAATGAAAGACCATCTTCTAGTAGATATGTTATAACTCCTCAAATTTGACCATATTTTTTTTTGGCTCTAGCAATGAATATAGATATCATATTCACCACTAAACTAAAAAGAACGACTGATAGAGTATCACCTTGTCGTAGCCCTTTTTTATTTAAAAATAATGACTGCATATCATTGTTCACTTTATTTCCCACATTTCTTTTAGAAACTAATTGTTGAACCCAATGACATCACAATGGTGGGAAACCTTTCATCCAAAGAGTTTGCTCCGGAAAAGGCCATTTAACTTTATCAAACTTTCTCAAAGTCTACCTCTAAAATGACCCCATTGACCTATTTTACTTTGTACTCCATTCGTCCTTAAAAGGATGTAAATTTTCAATTTTTTAGGAGTCAAACAATTTAAAGTTTGACAAAATAAGTATCATTAAATTAACTATAATATATATTTTTGTAGTAAACATAATTGAAGACATCAATGTTAATACTATTAACTATAAACTTGGTTAAAGTTAAGCTAGTTTGACTTGTACAAATCCGATAGTTACATCTTTTTGTGGACGGATGGAGTAACTTATGGATTGTTTCGTGTAAAATGACTACCCCTTACAAAGTATATCTTCCAGGAAGGAAAGTCGTTTGTGAGGGACTAATTACTTTTTGAGCAACCTTATTTATTCTAAAGTTTTGAAACTAGCACTTAACAAACAAATTGGCCTGAATTGTTGTATTAGGGTTTCTTATTGACACTTTGGGAGTAAAATTAGTAATTCCAAAATTGAGTCTAAACAAGTTTGTTTTCCATTAAGAAAGTCATAAAATATTGCCATCAAATATACTTTTATGACCTCCCAGAACACTTGATAAATTTCTGTCAGAAAATAATCGGGTCCTAGTGGTTTTATCACGTTCCATTTGGAAAATGGCTACCTTCACTTCATTTTCGGTAAACATGTTTGCAAAAAAATCATTCTCTAAGACAGAGACTTGTGGACTATCTTCCAACATTTTAAAACCATTCGTTTCTGTAGGTCCCAATAAATTTTGATAGTAAGTTGTTGTATGTTCCTTTAACTCCTATTCCTCTTTTATAACTCTATCATCACCTTCCAACTGAAAATAGAGTTTTGCCATGCTTGCCATCTGCAATAGGTTGGAAATACTTTGTATTGTTATCCCATCTAACAAGTCTTCAGATTTGGAGCGTTGAAACAATGCAATATCTTCTTCCCTGAACATATGGTAGATCCTGTCTTGTCAAAAGAAAGGAAAATTCTGCTTTCTTATCTAAAGCATCAACCAAACTTGTAATAACCTCTTTCTCTCATCTAATTTTGCCTTTTCATTTCTTGCCCAACCTAGTACTAACGCAAACATTCAGCCTGTTCGCTGGTTGGTTTCTGGGCTGATAAGCCCGGCTAGTGCTGGTTTGTTGTGAGGGAAAAATATTGTACCATGACTAATAAGCTCTGGCTGAAACCAACAAGCAAACAGGCTGATTGTATTTTTGCATTGCCATCTTTGCATCGAGTTGGACCCTCCTGTCTCCTCATTCCAAACACATGGCACTTTTTCATAGAACCCTTCCCATGCTAACCAACACAATACAAATGTAACTATTGGTTACTACGATGAGCAGCAGTTCAAGAATCTAGTAAGAAGAGGTGTATGGTCGAAAATATAAAATATCCCTATCTAAAGCTTGCACCATTGCTAATGGGAAATTTTACTCCCAATATGTACTTAGTAAGACTCTATCCAACTTTTCAATGTTGGTATTTAGAAGTTCTTGTGAGTATATTGCTAAGTAATACAAAATAACGGATTCCGATTTCACCATTACACACAACAACACAAGCAGCAGCAGGACAGTTTGCATACTACAGCTCTATAGCCGTCAGATATACAGTCTTCAAGCCGGGCTGCATCCTGAACGCTGCCATGCTTGGATCCCATCAATCTACTTACACCCAGTCACCGATCTTTTAAAATCATCCAATCTCTATACGATGTTCTGGCAACATGCAAACCTAGGCAACTCTACATAAGCTCTGGAGGATGGCTAAAGCCGACTCTTGCGGCCGGCTTCACTCCATTTGGTACCCTACTATACATGTCAGTTTTCGATTCCACCACATCGCCTTGTTCGGCTGGGGCTGGCTGGCTGGGCTGGCTGGCCAGCCCCCTCACATTAGCACTATTCACATGAATCAGCCAGCAGTACTTCTCTCTCACATAAACGAACCAGAACGATACGAACCAGCCAACCGAACAGGCTGATGATACTGCTATACTACATAAGCGGCAGAAGGGAGCTAACAGTACAATCATTCCGACTATGTTCATCGCTAGTCTATAGGAGAGAAATTATGTACAGATCCCAAGCACCACTGCAGGTATGTAGCAACTGCAAGTCATCGGCTGTTCCAGACAATCATCACCAAGGGCCAGTCAGTGTTCTTCGCAAGCACAGCCGTTTCTTCTGTCCAAATGGACCCTTCAACATTTCTGGTGCCTGTCGGGCAAAATTTGCAAACATCATTACCAAATGTAAAAACAGGTGGGCCATTATGAAAAATTAGAATTATATGTGCTGGTAGCAATGTTGTATATTTGTAAACTGCTCCAAATATCTGACAGTAAAATATTTTAGAAGGAGGTAAAAGGAAAACTCCAAAAACCAAATAGTCCAGTTAATTACTATTGGTCGGTTAGTCGAGCTAGCTATCCATCCTCTCATCTCATGGAGCCCTCATAATATTGAGATAACACACATGTATCAAAGCCAGCTGTCTTAAAAGCCTATTTCGATTTTTTTTCTTTGGATAAGGAAAATTATACTTTGTTGAGTAACAGACAATCATAATCGATATGAACTCGGGCTGAGTAGGGTACAAGGGTAATGTAGTATATTTGAAGTTAAGTTGAACTAAATGTGCGGAATAGAAAGAAACTCTGCAAGTGTGAGTCCCTAACTGAATCCTACAACCAATTTTTTTGGTGATTGGTTGCTCAGCTAGCAACTCACAACGCGAGACTAATGGAGTATATTCGAATAATATGGATTTTTCTTCATGCCATTCTTTCATCTTTGGTTATTTTTGGCAAAGTAATAGAAGAAGTAGTATGCTTACAGGCTGAATATTACTCTGCCAAAGTTTTAGCAAACCAGAAAGAGCGTCAAGATAATATACAGGGGTCAAACACAGGAAATTTGGCATTAACAGTTACCTCGTTTTTCTGCATTTCCATAATCTCTGCCTGCATTATGAAGAAATGAATGATCAGTACTATGAAGACATCCAAAGAACAGAGTCTGAGATGTAAGAATGTGTGCCTATTCTTAGAAGTGTTTAGCATAACCTATGAACGCAGTATCACTTCACCTACATGTTCCGTGCACCGGTTCATATAAATTGGAAGTGCACAGGTTCGGTGCACCATAACACATGAACACTGTACTATAGGTCTATAGCTGTCACGCTGAAAAGTACAGGAGCATAGTAGACAGTGAATGATTCACTACTGATGACGGCAACATGGGGCATGCTGAAACTACCCATTTCATAATGACTTAAAGTGACCTTGGTTCGCTGCCAAACATCGGCACACCTAATCTTGGATAAACAAGCTATGGCTGCCACAGAAAATGCGGCGTTTAAATTAAAGCCACACTTATTGCAAAGTTTAGCGAGAAAAAGAGTCTACGACGTGTGTGACTGGATGCTAAGAAGTGTGACACACGAAGTTGGCCTAAACAGCTGTCTTAAAAAACTGAGGCATGACTAACATGTACGAGTAGCATGGTAATGCTCCTCGAGAGGCAATGCACTAAAGAGTGAGCAAATCTAGCACCTGCACCTGTAGTGTTCAGAGAAAATTAGAAAAGGCACCTGTTTCCTCTCCAGTTCCTGATTCTGCTCCTTGAGTTTCTGAACTTCAGCTTCTAACTCCATTGTATAAGCCTATGCAGTAGAATAAGAAAGTTTTACCGAAACAGGAAAGTCGAAAAATTGTCTGCTTTAAAGCGAACGGGGCCACAGTAAGTAGAAAGCTCAGGTTGCCTGTACAATGACTCTGATTACAATCGCAATTGCTATAGTTCAACACGTCATGCGTCAAGAAGCACACTGAGTTAATTTGGATAAAATTTTCGTAACTTATTCTCGGCCCAACAAGATTGAAGTCTTTCACTAACAAATAGCTTGATTAAGACATGCACGAATTCAGTACAGAAGGTTGAGACCTGTTTGCGCGCTCGGGACCTCGCGGCGGACTCCCTGTTCTTGATCATCCTCCTCTGCCGCCTCTGCACCACTTTCTCCACGCCGCCTCCATGCCTTCTCCCCCGAATCATCCCTTCGAACGAAAAAGGCAGCGGCTCCGTTGGCGACGACAGGTCGCTGTACCCCTTCCCGCCAGAATCAAGCTGCTGATTCACCTCTGTTTGCACAGCCATGGCGCTGCCTCCCATGCCTGCCGCCGCCCTGGGCGGTATCAGTGCCAGATCTCCCATGCCGACCGGTGCAAACCCCAGCGCTGCCGCAGCTGCGGCGTCGTCGGCACCCGGTAAATTCCCGAAAAAGGCGGAGCTTTTAGGGGCAACAGGTACCGGCCGCGGCGGCATCATGGTCATGGGTGGTGGCGCTGGAGGAGCTGGAGCGGGGTTCTCCCTGACCACGCCAGCTCTGACCAAGAACTCCTCCAGAGTCATCTCCCCGAGCGTCGACTGGCGGTGGTGCTGCTGGTGTCCGCCGCCGTCCGCCCCCTGCGCCTGCGGAGGCTCGTCGCGCACGAGGTTGCGCCACACCTCGCCGACCGTCTTGGCGCTGAGCGTGCGGGGCAGTGTGAGCGACGATCCCTGCCGCTGCAGCGGCGTGGGCGGCATCCCCGCGCCCGCTCCTGCGGCAGAGGCGGAGGCCATGGCCTGGGTCTCCTCCGCGGTCCAGATGCTCCGGAGCAGCTCGTCCATGTTCATGGAGCCGAAATCCTTGGGGACGCCACCGCCGGCGGCGGCCCCGCCGCCGAGCGCGCTCTGGAATTCGTCGAACGTCAACGAGTAGACTGACCCCTGCCTCGCCAACAGCGCCCCCTCGTCCACCACCATCGCCGGCCGGCGCTGCGACGACGACCCGCAGTTCTTGAACTCCATCCCCTCCCTCCTCCTCCTCCTTACCCGTCTCTCGGTCTCAGCTCAGCACCAAAAAGACATGGACACCAGGTGAGGAGAGCTCAAAGCCTCAAGACTGCTACCGAGCCACATGCGCCTCTCGTCGGAAAAGGCACGAGGACTAGCTAGCTAGCTTGGTGCTGACGAGTGGGTAGAGTTCCGTGACCTGAGGCTGCGAATGATGCAGCAGAGGAAGGCGGCGCAGGGGATCCAGGGTCTTGGGGGGCGCAGTGGAGCGGGGCGGGGAGTGCTCCGTCGGGTGGTTAGGACGTGGCGCGCTCACAGGTCGTGGTCTCCCAGCACGCAACCGAGCAGCCAACCATACGTAGCCACGTGGTGGCCTTGCCTCCGTCAGTTGTTGGGATGGTGGCATACGGGCAAAAATATCCTCGAGCCGGGAGCAGCTGGTGCTGGGTTGTTGCCATGTAGGGCCTCTGCCGGCTTATCTGTTAGTGGGACCCGGTGTCAGTTCTCCTGGTGCCCTGATGGGAACAGACAACAGAGTGGTAGGTTTCCCTTCAAGTATGACAGGTACAGTTTTGAAAAGAAATGCAATGCTTAATCAGCATATCTCACTATAATTTTGAAGAAGGTTTTTTTTTGCGAATAATTTTGAAAAAGGTTATAAAAATCAATTGTGGAACTACGTGGAAGAGGAAAGAAAATCAATTCCAGAGCCCCAAGGCTCACTCGGCTAGAATGAGTGTTCTAGTTCTAGATTCATCATTCATCTGTTACTGTAACCATGCAACGTGGCGGATACCACTCACAAAAGAGGTATCCTGGAACTCTCCTAATCGCATTCACAGAATCACAGGAGATGCTGCAAACTCTCTCCTGCGCCGCTGTGCGCTTTGACACACCGCCAAATGAGGACAAGTTTTCCGCTCAAGCTAGTCAAATGGATAAGCACAGGAGCGGAGCAGAGAGCAAATTAAAGAGGAGTGTGTTTACCTTTGTGGGTGCTTCGGCTGGCAGAAATTTGACTGAAACTGGCTGGTTGCGTGGGAGAGAAACACTGTTGGCTAGTTTGATGAACAGTACAATGAGAGGGGAACCAGCCGGCTGGTCTGAAATGTTCAGACCAGCGAACGCCCCCATAATATGAGGATACAAATATGGTGAATTATTTTTCATTTCTATTGTTTTTCTATTTTCGTGTGGGTGCAGCCGCGCACAGTCATGACTATAGCTTCACCCCAAGCATATATGCATAGCTAAGAATGGGGATTAGTGCCTTGACCTAAACTAATGGGCCAGTGATGCTGGAAATCAATCTTCCAAGAGACTTCATAATATTATCACACAAGGTTATTGGCGGCTTCGATCTATGTCATGCAACAGCCTCTAGAAATTCTGGCTCTATTCGGCAAGACTTATTATTGCTGCGGCTGATCTGTATGGTTGATTTGTTGTGAGAAGAAAGCATTGTTCTATGATTAAAAAAGTATGGCTGATTCTGACTTATAAGCTCAAGCGATCAGAGCCACAGCTGCTGCAGGCGCTTATTCTTCTCTCAAAGAACTGTAGCTGCCCATTTAGGGTGTTCGGCTGCAAGAATAAGTGGCTACAGCTGCTGCAGGCGCTTATTCTTCTCTCAAAGTACTGTAGCTACCATACTTGCTACATTGTTCTCTCTCAAATTAGTCTCATCCAAGAAATCTTCCCTGATACACCATTAAACATGACAGCTGAAATACTAGAGTTGAAAATCAGCCTCATACAAGCAATGCATCTATCAGGGAAACCTTTATGCTCCATTATCTTAATCAACTCATGTTTAACCCTGTCAAAGGCTTTTTCAAAATTCAATTTAAAAATAATGGTCTCTCCTGATTGATGACAAAGGTGCAGATATTCCAGGGACCAGGCTACTTTATTACGTAGAACAGATGCGAGAGGACCAAAATAAGCAATTCTGGTTAACTATGGGTCTCAAATTTATTGATTGATTTTAATACTTATGTCGCCTATTACTACTAGCTCGTTCAGGAGCATGAGCATTGATTTGATGGAATAGTTCTTACTGATTAGAGGATACTTTTAGAGCACCCACATTGATCCTCACATGACGACTTGACGAGTTAGAGAAGAGATAAATCCTAAAAAAAGAAGCGACTGGTCATTAATTATGTAGGTTTGATCATTGTTATTGTTATCAGCAAACTGGCCATTAATTATGTTATATCTAGATGTCTAACAAAATATATGTACTAAAAAGTCAAAGCGACTTGTAATTTAGAACGGATGGGGTAGCTAAAATCTACTGCTACTGGACAGAACATGTGATATCTATGCAGATATTGTGTTATAAGCAAATGAGAAGAAAAATAAGAACTTTGATTAGTGGTGGCCCAAATTTATCCAGGAAACTTGTTCAAGAAGTCGGTGGCCCAAATTTATCCATGAAATTTGGTAACCGACGTAAGGGCACATAGATTAAGATTAATGGGCAAGTTTTTCTAAACCATGTTTGAAATTTCACATCGAAAAGGACCCATAAGTTTCTATCCAAACTCCAAAGTCTGTCAATGTTGATCTTCTGTCCGGCGTCCAATTTAGATAGAGATATCTAGCATGGAATGTCAAAAGAATATCAGATCCAAGCAACAGACATCGAAGAGAACAAACATACAGATCAATGTATGCACACATCAAATACGGAAACGCCAGCAGTCAACACCTACATGCACGTAGCACAAGTGGGGAAAAAACGCATAAGTGCACAACTAGCGTAGTGACTCAGAAGTATCTTATCCTAAAGTGGTCATCATGTTATAGGCAAAAGGTTGGCTGGCAATTTCGTTGTTGTCAACATGGCACTATATTGCCTGATGTAATAGAGAGTGTGGTATAGATGCTGCTTCAAGGAACAGAACATCAAGTTACTTGAAAATTCAATACAAAAATACATTCAATGCACATTAACAGCCTGACGGCAACTTACTCAATTTTAGAATAACATGTATCAGAAAGCATGGCAAGTGAAGCAGCCACTCAGCGAACTGATTTGGCCATTCTTGCTAAGCTGTGCTCTCTTTTTTGTCTTCCTAGAGCCTTTTCCATCTTGGTTTGCTGTTACTGCATCACACTCACGCTCACGCATCACCTGGGCTTTTCTTTGAGCAGACTTGAGGGTGTTCAAAATCTTATCTAGCGAAGAAGATCTTTTCTTCTCGAGCTTAATCTGATATCATAGAAGTGTGGGTACAATTCAGGGTCAACTAGATACATTAGATATAAATAAAATGTCCAGCAAACAATCCTAGCATCAATTCAGTTAAAAAAAGCGCAATACAGTTTGAAATAGAGCAAAGAACATACCACTAACTTCTGAATTGCTGCCTCAGCTTTTGCTTTTTGAATATTCTCCCATGCAGTGATTTTTGTGTCCTCTCTATCAATCCTTATAACATTGCAGAGACTTGTCAGCTTTCACAATTTGTTGGTGTAAATATATATTGAAATTTTAAAAAAAAATCTTGAGAAATAGTTAAGGCTTTGACACATTTAGAACAGATAAGCATGACAGGAGATTTCATGACGCATAATAAGATAACAAATATTAGGAAATTAGGCTTCAAGCAGCAAAATAATTGAATATGTAGTGATCCGTGATCTCTTACTTAGATATGCACTTCGCTTCGGCAAAGCCCCAGGACGAAGAATTTGACTCCACTGTCTTTTCATTCCATTCTATCATGTTTGTTGAATTCTTGTTAGATGACCGTGTTACATTTTTCTTTGACCACCTAGTCAAAGTCACTCGGTCATCCATCTGAACATCCCTGATATCAAGATCTGAGAAATAGCTCCCGCTCTCTTTCACTTGTTCTGTCGACAGGGAACGATTAAATGTTGGTCTAGTGTTGGGCGAAGAGGACCTACTTAGCTCCGGGCTGGTCTGGGTTGCAGCATCTTTCCTATAAATTACAGAAGCAATAGTAGAAGCTGAATCTTCTGTGATTTCAACCTGCTCATCTGAACAAGACAACAACACCGAGGCAGCGGATCAAGATTTACTGACTTTTCAGTCTACAATATGATAACTTTCTATGAAGATCTGCTGCACAACTTAAGGTAAATAAGTTTCAACTTACTAAAAACAACGGCGTACCCAGTGCAGAGAGCTCCCGCTCTGTGCGGGGTCTGGGGAAGGGTGTCAGTGGCAAGCCTTACCCTCGCTTGTGCAATGCGAGGAGACCGCGACTCGAACCCGGCACCTTCCGGTCACAGGCGGTAAGACTCTACCGCTTGCACCAGGCCCGCCCTTCAAATAAGTTTCAACTTATTACTGAAAAAAAAACTGGTTTTTATAATGGAATTCATGCGGGGTTTCATAATGCCTTCTATGCTTGAACAAACATAGATGATAACTCAAACAAAGTGTTGTGCTTTGTTAATTACTACGAAACCAAATTTCAACAATAAACAATGGCTAAAACTAAAAATAATGATGGATATGTACTCTGTGCACAGGAAACAATTTGTAAATACCTTGGATAGATTCTTGTGTGCTAGGCAATGAAGCAGATGATTCCACTGCAGAATCTAATCGCCGGCGAACTCTGGAAGTTCGAATAGGATGAGACCCACCATTCAGTGGACAAATTTTGACTCCTCTTCCAATGTTGATTTCGTCACCAATTGGTCTACCTGAATAGGTTCCATTTGTATTTTTTCCTCCACAAACATGTTCCGGCATTAGTACTCCTGCTGCAAAAGGAGAATTTGCTGTAACAGGTCCAGCTCTCCTACTATCAAGCAATGACACCGAAGAAACAGATGAATACTGTCCACCAATTCTTCCTGGAGGCCCCAGGGGGCCACTTTTAGACTTTGGTCGTCGAGCATGAGCAACTGTAGTTCTTCCAAGAGCATCGCTGGAATTGGGACTGAAGATCCACCTCTCTGCATCCTCCCATTTCGAGGGCAATGTCCTCCCATTGCTGTAAGGAAATGCCATGCTGCTTCCTGGGTAC